GTGTGTGTGTGTGTGTGTCTCAAGATCAAGTTTAAATAAACTGTGTTCGCAGTAATGTGTAGAAGCTAATGTCGCTGAGGATGAGAACAAACACAAAACAAATGTTTATTAACCGAATGATGTAACAAAATAATGTCTGTCTGTCTGTCAGGCGAGGAGTGTCAGCACTGGAGAACTGGCTGCCATCAAGGTCATCAAACTGGAACCTGGTAGGTAGCATCACTCATATTCACCTCACTGCATCATGTCACTGCATCAGTCAAATTATTCAAATATATATATTTCAGCAGCCGCCTGTTTAACCATAAAGTTGTTTATGTTTGTATGCGTCTATCAGACTGATGAAAAGTGTCGACTGAGACTCTTCTTATTGACCTCGGTTCAGTCGACTATTAGGGGACAGCTCTAATAATTTCACAGTTTAATTTCACTGTCAAGATCCAAGATCCAACATCCCGGACTGATTCAGTGTTTACTCAGTTGATATCATCACACGTACAACGTTATAACCACTGAACCACACTGCAGTGACGCAGGGTGCAGCGACGCAGGGGACAGCGATTGTGTGTTGTTGCGTGTCTTATTTTGAAAATAGCGTCACAGAACAGCTACTGACTTCCTGGTAGGTGACGTTGTTTTGCAGCTGATTGTTGGTGAAGATCAGTGTCATGTAGAGATCTATTAGTCATCTTCATCATCTTCATCATCCTCCTCATTAATCGGAGCAGACAGACTGCAGCAGTCAGCAGGTGGTGTGTGTATCAGTGAATACTGATCAGGTGTTCATCATTCTGCAGGTGAACACAGTGGATCCTGCTGTCTAACTGATGTTTTAATTAACCTGCAGCAGCACACAGCGCCCCCCACAGGCTGCTAATTAATTAATTAATAAAGTTAATTACAACAGCATCCTGATCAGTCTGTTTGTCCTCATTAAAGGTGGACTGGAGGTGAGGCTGCTCACTGATGGCAGTTGTTTTAAGGTGGACTGGAGCTAAATAGATAAACTGATTATCTTGGTGAGTTTTTGCTGTTTTCTCGGCTGAGAGAGAAAATGTGATGGTGTTTGTGTTCCAGAGTGAGACCTCTCTTTCCTCAGCAGAGCTCCAGTTTTAATGAGATGTTACATAAATCCTCCATATTCTTATTATTCTGATCAGCTGGAGGACAGCGGAGGCTCTAATGAGGCCTGAAGCCTCCGGCAGCAACAAAGACTCTTTGTTCTCTCTGAGCATTTATTCTCAGCTCTGACACCAGGAACACGTTCCTCCCTGGACAAAATAACAGAAACACCTTAGCTCTGTCTGCATACTGAGCAGCTGATGATGCTGTTGGTTTACCTGCTGAACAGGTGCTGAGTGCTGTCTGTCTGTCTGTCTGTCTGTCTGTCTGTCTAACCCTCAGCCGATGCTGACTTTAGAGGAATCATTGATTACTGATATGTCAATAGGTGAGGACTTTGCGGTGGTGCAGCAGGAGATCCTGATGATGAAGGACTGTAAACACTCCAACATCGTGGCATACTACAACAGCTACCTCCGGTAACCGTTACCATGACAACAACAGCAGAGTGATGGGGGGGCAGTTTAAAGGATCATTTATATCGATCAGACTCACTCATGGTGTGTGTGTGTGTTTGTGTGTGTTTGTGTGTGTGTGCAGCAGAGACAAGCTGTGGATCTGTATGGAGTTCTGTGGAGGAGGATCACTGCAGGACGTCTACCACAGTGAGGCACACACACACACAGCAGATCAATAATCAGTCTTTATTAATCATAATTTGATAGACTTTATGTTCTATAAAAGTATGTGTATGAAGTTTTAAACAACGTTACTAGAAACAATAAATAATATAAGATCGACTTCATTGATCCTACACTTGCTGCAGCAGCTGCAGATACAACAGAAAGAAACTACCATAACACTTCCAGTAAAAGCAGGGTCCCAAATAGAGGCAGGTCTCCTTTAAAAGCCTGCTAGGTTTCATCAGGTGTGGCATCAAAAATCTGAAAAAGGAACACCCCGAATCCTAAGTCTAACTTCAGTGTACTTTCCCCAGTCGGCCCCAGACATCACGGCCTGGCCCGTTTATCATTGGCATTATCATTATTATCATTATTATTATTATTTTTATTATGATGAACGTCACAGGGTCTGATGACCGAACCAAATCCAGACATCTGAAACCACATACACATTTCATCACTAATATCATCACTAATCAAATATTAATCTCGTTCTGCTGTGTCTAAAAGTAAAGGACTATATTTTCTGCGTAAGGAACCCTTTATGGCTGCGTTCATCCTTGTCTCCATGGAAACAGTGAATAAACAAGGCTGCACAGATGCCGTTATAGCAAACATACTCTGTAACACATGTAAACGGTTGATTTATTTATTTACATAATCACAGTGAAATATTAGTACTCAGAAGTCTGAAATTGTAGGAACATGTAGGAACATAAGGCAAACATTAATAAAGAATGAATCAATAAATACAGACAGTGACAGACCTCAGAGACTGTAATAAAAAACTCAGTTCAGTAATGAGGCGGCCATCTTTAAACCTTTAACTCTCCATCCGCCCTCAGTTGTCCCTGTCGCCATGACGACACCCACGCTGCCTTCGTTTCCCCGCTCGTTAGGGCCCGTGCTCGTTAGGGCTGCGGCGGGGGCGGTGGGAGACGGGGGTGTCTTCAGCCAGCATTAATGAGCGCCGAAACGACTGCCACTCGGCTCCTCACCTCATTAAACCTCAGTGATGCCACCGAGGGTGACCACGGGCGCCAGCCTCCGCCACACCGCCCCCCCGCTGGTCTGATATAACGCTCCGCCCCCCCGCAGAGAGAGAGGACGGTGAGAAGAGCGCCCTGCAGACAGATAACTATTCAAACTGCTTTTAACTAGTTTAACTGAACGTCTCTTTATGCTTACTGTCAGAGAGGCCCCGCCCCCTCCCTGACCCAGTTTTCACCTGTTGGTCCATCTTCAGTAAAGCATCATCTATTGATTTATTGATTTATGAGGACTGTAATTTAAAATGTAAAATGGAGGATAGTAAATGTAGAGACTCTGTCTCTGCTGGTCCCAGCATGCACTGGGTGAGAGGCGGGGTCTGAACACTCTGACACTAAACTGGTTCTGTTGTTTTGCCTTTCAGTAACTGGTCCACTGACTGAGTCCCAGATCGCGTACGTTCTGAGGGAAACACTGCAGGTAACGTCCTGAACCTCCCGATCAATACCAACCTATTCACAGTTACCATCAATACCAACCTATTCACAATCACGATCAATACCAACCTATTCACAATCACAATCAATACCAACATGTTGACAATCACCGATCAATACCAGCCTGTTGAATATCACGATCAATACCAACCTGTTCACAATCACCGATCAATACCAACCTGTTGACAATCACCGATCAATACCAACCTGTTGACAATCACGATCAATACCAACCTGTTCACAATCACCGATCAACACCAACCTGCTGACAATCATGGATCAACACCAACCTGCTGACAATCACCGATCAATACCAAC